TACAAATGATAAAAATCAATGTGTTTTCGTTAGAATTAACAAAAAAAAAAACCTGATTTTCCGTTTATATTACCGATGGTAGATGTAAACGAAAACATCTGTATTCCGGCTGAAACGTCGATATATTCAATAAAAACAGAACTTCTCCCCTTTTCAATATCTTACTCAGTATTTTAACGAGAAACAAATAGTTGATTGAAAATGAAGTATTTAAGGTTATTATCTAATCAATTATGTGTTTTCATCATTTTTATCGTATATATAATAAATTAATACCCAGAAACTGAAAATTCACAAAAACGTGGAAAAACGGCAAAATATTGCATAATTCGATGATATTTTGTTTAAATCACATAGAGGAAAAGCGGATGATAGACGTCAAAATATTGCTAAATTCGATGATTTTTCGTACGAAACAAAATGCAAGAAAACTTGCTTGAAATGCAATATTATGCGACATTCTGAGATTTGAAGGCCAAATCACATATTGTGATACTACATGAAATAGTATCGAAATATTGGTAAAAATGAATATATTTACGTAATATCAAACTACATGAAAAACGTGAAAAAAGTAACTATTTTACCATATTTGAGGATTTAAACTTCAAATCATAGAGCGAGGTTTCGTATTGTTTAGATCCAAGAAAAGACATAAGACAATGTTGTTTCCAAAACAAATGATAAAAAAACAATGTGTTTTCATTAGAATTAACTAAAATGTTCTTGATTTTCCGTTATTATTACCGATGGAAGATGTTCACGAAAACCGCTCTATTCCGGCTGATACGTCGATATTTGCAATAAAAACAGAACTTCTCCCCTTTTCAATATCTAACTCAGTATCTTAACGAGAAACAAATAGTTGATAGAAAATGAAGTATTTAAGGTTAATTTCTAATCAATTATGTGTTTGCATCATTTTTATCGTATATATAATGAATTAATAACAATAAACTGAAAATTCACAAAAACGTGGAAAAACGGCCAAATATTGCCTAATTCGATGATATTTTGTTTAAATCACATAGAGGAAAAGGGGATGATGAACGTCAAAATATTGCTAAATTTGATGATTTTTCGTACGAAACAAAATGCAAGAAAACTTGCTTAAAATGCAATATTATGCGAAATTCTGAGATTTGAAGGCCAAATAACATATCGTGATACTACATGAAATAGTATCCAAATATTGGTAAAAATTAATATATATACGTAATATCAAACTACATGAAAAACGTGAAAAAGTCACTATTTTACCATATTTGAGGATTTAAACTTCAAATCATAGAGCGAGGTTTCGTATTGTTTAGATCCAAGAAAAGACATAAGACAATGTTGTTTCCAATACAAATGATAAAAAACAATGTGTTTTCATTAGAATTAACTAAAACGTTCTTGATTTTCCGTTTATATTACCGATGGAAGATGTACACGAAAACCGTTCTATTCCGGCTTAAACGTCGATATATGCAATAAAAACAGAACTTCTCCCCTTTTCAATATCTTACTCAGTATCTTAACGAGAAACAAATAGTTGATAGAAAATGAAGTATTTAAGGTTAATTTCTAATCAATTATGTGTTTGCATCATTTTTGTCGTATATATAATGAATTAATAACAATAAACTGAAAATTTACAAAAACGTGGAAAAACGGCCGAATATTGCCTAATTCGATGATATTATGTTTAAATCACATAGAGGAAAAGGGGATGATAAACGTCAAAATATTGCTAAATTCGATGATTTCTCGTACAAAACAAAATGCAAGAAATTTGCTTAAAATGCAATATGTTGCGACATTCTGAGATTTGAAGGCCAAATCACATATTGTGATACTACATGAAATAGTATCGAAATATTGGTTAAAATGAATATATTTACGTAATATCAAACTACATGAAAAACGTGAAAAGTCACTATTTTACCATATTTGAGGATTTAAAGTTTAAATCATAGAGCGAGGTTTCGTATTATTTAGATCCAAGAAAAGACATAAGACAATATTGTTTCCAATACAAATGATAAAAAACAATGTGTTTTCATTAGAATTAACTAAAATGTTCTTGATTTTCCGTTATTATTACCGATGGAAGATGTACACGAAAACCGCTCTATTCCGGCTGAAACGTCGATATATGCAATAAAAACAGAACTTCTCCCCTTTTCAATATCTTACTCAGTATCTTAACGAGAAACAAATAGTTGATAGAAAATGAAGTATTTAAGGTTAATTTCTAATCAATTATGTGTTTGCATCATTTTTGTCGTATATATAATGAATTAATAACAATAAACTGAAAATTCACAAAAACGTGGAAAAACGGCCGAATATTGCCTAATTCGATGATATTTTGTTTAAATCACATAGAGGAAAAGGGGATGATAAACGTCAAAATATTGCTAAATTTGATGATTTTTCGTGCGAAACAAAATGCAAGAAAACTTGCTTAAAATGCAATATTATGCGAAATTCTGAGATTTGAAGGCCAAATCACATATCGTGATACTACATGAAATAGTATCGAAATATTTTTAAAAATTAATATATATACGTAATATCAAACTACATGAAAAACGTGAAAAAAGTCACTATTTAACCATATTTGAGGATTTTAACTTCAAATCATAGAGCGAGGTTTCGTATTATTTAGATCCAAAAAAGGACATATGACAATGTTGTTTCCAATACAAATGATAAAAATCAATGTGTTTTCGTTAGAATTAACAAAAAAAAACCTGATTTTCCGTTTATATTACCGATGGTAGATGTAAACGAAAACATCTGCATTCCGGCTGAAACGTCGATATATTCAATAAAAACAGAACTTCTCCCCTTTTCAATATCTTACTCAGTATTTTAACGAGAAACAAATAGTTGATTGAAAATGAAGTATTTAAGGTTATTATCTAATCAATTATGTGTTTGCATCATTTTTATCGTATATATAATGAATTAATACCCAGAAACTGAAAATTCACAAAAACGTGGAAAAACGGCAAAATATTGCATAATTCGCTGATATTTTGTTTAAATCACATAGAGGAAAAGCGGATGATAAACGTCAAAATATTGCTAAATTCGATGATTTTTCGTACGAAACAAAATGCAAGAAAACTTGCTTGAAATGCAATATTATGCGACATTCTGAGATTTGAAGGCGAAATCACATATTGTGATACTACATGAAATAGTATCGAAATATTGGTAAAAATGAATATATTTACGTAATATCAAACTACATGAAAAACGTGAAAAAAGTAACTATTTTACCATATTTGAGGATTTAAACTTCAAATCATAGAGCGAGGTTTCGTATTGTTCAGATCCAAGAAAAGACATAAGACAATGTTGTTTCCAAAACAAATGATAAAAAAACAATGTGTTTTCATTAGAATTAACTAAAATGTTCTTGATTTTCCGTTTATATTACCGATGGAAGATGTACACGAAAACCGTTCTATTCCGGCTGAAGCAGTGAAGAGGAGTGTCACGTGCTTCTGTAGAGGTCGTGAAGCACCATAGTTGTTCGAGGAAACTTCATGGTGTAGCAGCCAGGAGAGCTGAGGAGGACCCTAGTAGAGGTAGTGAAGCACTATAGTTGCCCAAGGAAAACTTCATGGTGTAGCAACCCTCTCTCACGACCTCTGTTGCTCAAGTAAGGTCATGCCGTCGTCTCGCGAGCCTCGCGGGTTTTATATATATATATATATATATATATATATATATATATATATATATATATATATATATATATATATATATATATATATATATATATATATATATATATATATATATATATATATTTTTTTTTTTTTTTTTTTTTTTTCTTAAAGTTTGTGAGGGTACCACCTCTGGTGCCAATGTGGGGACCCATAGCCTCGGAGAAGAAAATAAAAAGTATTCAGAGGAGACCTTGTGGTTTCTCACTGAACACTAATATTTTCTTCTCCTACCACCCCCATTTTTTTGTATGTACACATATATATTTACTTTATTTGAACTTTGTTACAAAAAAGGAGTTACATATGGGTTACAAAGATGGTTGTCATAGGTTGTCGAGTTCCTCCAGCTCCTCAGATGGCGGGCAGGAACCCTGGATGCAGTGCGCATTTCCCCTCTGTATCGCCACACTGAGGCGCTGGAAAAGAAAGCTTGCAGCTCTCGGGTCCCTTGTTGTTTCAATGAGCCTAGAACCCAGTTCCTTCAAAAAACTGGTAGCACTTTTACCCCAGGCGCCGAGCGTCTCAGAAGCAATGGGGACAAAATTGTAGTGGTGATCCAGTTCTCTATACTTACGGGATTTGGCTGCTTCCCTGTGGGTGGCAGCGCCACCTGGTTGTGCAACACTATATATATATATATATATATATATATATATATATATATATATATATATATATATATATATATATATATATATATATATATATATATATATATATATATATATATATATATATATATATATATATATATATATATATATATAATATATAATATATTATAATCTTTTCTCTGACCTCTCAATTAGGTCTCGTATGTGGAATAACTCTCTGATAGGTAGACTCGTTCTTCAGGCTACCTGGGGTCATAACACTTGTCAGCAGATTATAGCTAGTCAACACCTCACTCTGCCTCACCCACTACAACCACACTCTCCATCAATCCCGCACACATACGCAACTCACAATTATAACATGAAACAGTGCAAAACACTTAGCATTGTTACAATCTCTTCCCCTCCTAACTCTCCCATTTCACCTCATGATCGTTGTCACCTTCTCCAACACTGCCACCAAAGCTACCTTTTACAACACCCGGGGTCAAATCCTATCACCAATTCCAAGTTTACTATATTAACAGATGTTAGATATTGCATTATAATAATGGCCGGCGGAACTGCATATATATATATATATATATTATATAGGTATTACTAGAGTTACTAGTAAAACACCAAATTTAGTATCCACAAAATGAACGTATCCGTAATGATGAAAATGTTCCTGATGTTTCTCGCGGTCACTTCTGGAATTTGTTTAATTTCTTCATTTGAAAATCATGTTTATGAAGAGGGAAAAAGATTTGGACCTATAATTGGCTCTATCGTTGGACCCGTAAATGGACCCGTCATTGGTTCTATCGTTGGACCTGTAAATGGACCCGTCATTGGGTCTATCGTTGGACCCGTTAATGGACCCATCATTGGCTCCATCATCGGACCCGTTAATGGACCCGTCATTGGCTCAATCATTGGACCCTTTAATGGACCCATCATTGGCTCCATCATTGGACCCGATAATGGACCCGTCATTGGCTCCATCATTGGACCCGTTAATGGACCCATCATTGGCTCCATCATTGGACCCGTTAATGGACCCATCGTTGGCTCTGTCGTTAGTGAAGATGGTAAGATGGCGGTGAAGATGACTGAAAGATTCTTAAAAATTCGTGCGTTGTTGATAATGGGCGGAGCTGTGGCAGGTTTCTTGATCATCAGCTGTTGGCTTCCTTACCACCCGCATGATGATGAATGCAATGTGAAGGTAAGAGATTCCTCGAGTGGGGAGAACACTGAAGCTTGTTCAAGTGGGGATGAAACTGAAGCTTGTTCAAGTGGGGATGAAACTGAAGCTTGTTCAAGTGGGGATGAAACTGAAGCTTGTTCAAGTGGGGACGACACTGAAACTTGTTCAAGTGGGGATGAAACTGAAGCTTGTTCAAGTGGGGAAGAAACTGAAGCTTGTCCAAGTGGGGATGAAACTGAAGCTTGTTCAATTGGGGATGAAACTGAAGCTTGTTCAAGTGGGGACGACACTGAAGCTTGTTCAAGTGGGGATGAAACTGAAGCTTGTTCAAGTGGGGACGACACTGAAGCTTGTTCAAGTGGGGATGAAACTGAAGCTTGTTCAAGTAGGGAAGAAACTGAAGCTTGTTCAAGTGGGGATGAAAATGAAGCTTGTTCAAGTGGGGACGACACTGAAGCTTGTTCAAGTGGGGATGAAACCGAAGCTTGTTCAAGTGGGGATGAAACCGAAGCTTGTTCAAGTGGGGATGAAACTGAAGCTTGTTCAAGTGGGGATGAAACCGAAGCTTGTTCAAGTGGGGACGAAACGTTGACTTTCGACGAGTTACATTCGATAATCAATTACTTATGTCGTAGTGGTTACGATACCGATTGTAGTGATGGAGAAGATGAAGTTTGCTTAAGTGGAGACGAAACGGAAGCTTGTTCGAGTGGGGAAGAAACTGATGAAACGTTGACTTTCGACGAGTTACATTCGATAATCAATTACTTGTGCCGTAGTGGTTACGAATGTAGTGATTGTAGTGATGGAGAAGATGAAGTTTGCTTGAGTGGAGACGAAACTGATGAAATGTTGACTTTCGACGAGTTACATTGGATATTCAATTACTTATGCCGTAGTAGTTACGATACCGATTGTAGTGATGGAGAAGATGAAGTTTGATTGAGTGGGGAAGAAACTGATGAAACGTTGACTTTCGAGGAGTTACATTGGATACTGTCACAGGGGGTGGGCTGGGGCTCTGCTAGCAGTCGGCTGCTAAGGGGCTCAGAAGGCAGAATACTCAGCCCCTCCGACTCTTGGGACTCACCGGAGTCTCCTGGTCCCACAGGAGAGGACCAGTAATACCCACCACCGCAGGTCTTTGCCCCCACCACTAGGGGTGCCACTGATTCACCCTGGAAGCCCTTCAGTCAACCACGGGAAACTGCCATTAGCAATTCCGGCCTAGACCCATGGAGAAGTGAAGGAAGACCCAGGCTTACCTTTTAACAATAACTTCCCCTGAGTCTCTCCTGCCAGACAAAAAGTTGCAGGAATTCCTTTCCCGCCTGCCTTCTCTATCTTTTGACAAGGTCGCCAGCTGGGTTCCCCACTTTCTCCTTATGTGATATGATCTCCTCAATCCCCCTTTGACTTATTAATTTTACGTCCTACCCTGTCCACAGCAGTGGTTCTTGGTTCTTTCTCTCTCTCCTTCTTTACTACTTCTTGGGAAGCCTCACTAGGACAAGGCCAAACACCAGCAAATTTGAATACATTTACTGGACAAAGCACATACACAGTACATACACACATACAATAATAATAATAATGAATCCTACACTCTATACTATTTTAGTCAGGTTGCACTCCAACACCATCAGAACTCTATCATCAGCTTACCAAGTGGTATCCTATCTTCTGATTCACCACCTGATACTATCTACCTCCTCAAGTCGATCAAGTCTTATACTACAATGTTGCACTATCAGCGAGAGAATATATATATAAACATGTACAAGGAAAATCAGCGTATGAATGCAATAACATATATATATATATATATATATATATATATATATATATATATATATATATATATATATATATATATATATATATATATATATATATATATATATTGTGACGGTAACGCGTTGGTGTTCGGCTGTTTAAGGCTAGGGGTATGGCCTCGTCACATAGTTATAAAAAAAAATAGAAAACTGGAACTTCGTCTGTGGTAAGGTAAGGAGAAGACACACAAAACACAAGTAAACTTTAACAATGAAATTTTAATTACGTTAAAGAAATAAAAACATGAAAAAATGGACAAACAAATTTGTATAATAAAATCAATCAATCAAAATAATAAGAATAATTAAATGACACAATGAAAAGTTACGTTAAGGCAAAATAACAAGAAGTGCAATACAAAAATAAAGGTAAGGTGCTGGAATATTGGCTTTAAGCTACCAACTCTCTCAGTATACGCTAACGTCTAGCCGGGAGGAGTGGTAACCGCGGAAGCACAGAATATTCTGAGGTCTGAGGTCGTGGCGACCCCAGACATCAAGTAGTATGGGGGGGTGGAGTGCAGTTGCAGCCCGGCCGGCGACCAATCAGCGGAGCCGGTAGCGATCAACAGGTAGTTTGGCGGTTTGAGTCTGAACAGGTGTCTCTGGCTGCATACGTTTTGCTCGCTGGCAAACCTTGCTGGTGTTGTTGTCGTTGTTGGACATTTCTTCCCTAGTAGTTTTATATAATTTCAACGACGTAATTGTGGAGGGAAGAGCAGGCTCAATCTCTTGAAGGAGATTATCGTCACAATATATATCAGTATAAATGTTCCTTGATACACAACAATGATCAATCGATCACCCTATCAGTCCTAAAACACATACATCTGTAGGTAATCCAACCTACGTCTGTAACTCTATGCTTCAGTATAGAATCTCCTCGGCACAAGAACGGCAAACAATCACTCACCTTTCACTGCGCCTTGCACCCTAAGGACAACCAAACACTCTATTACTTCCCTATAAGTAATCCTTTAGAACTTCCCTTCCATATAGGGAAGTTCACTACCCTGATCTCTTCAGGAACTACCAGGATCCTCTGCAGCTCCTCCAGGCTGCTACACCATGAAGTTTTCCTTGGGCAACTATAGTGCTTCACTACCTCTACTAGGGTCCTCCTCAGCTCTCCTGGCTGCTACACCATGAAGTTTCCTCGAACAACTAAGGTGCTTCACCACCTCTACAGAAGCACGTGACACTCCTCTTCACTGTTTCAGCCGGAATAGAACGGTTTTCGTGTACATCTTCCATCGCTAATATAAACGGAAAATCAAGAACATTTTAGTTAATTCTAATGAAAACACATTGTTTTTTTATCATTTGTATTGGAAACAACATTGTCTTATGTCTTTTCTTGGAGCTAAACAATACGAAACCTCGCTCTATGATTTGAAGTTTAAATCCTCAAATATGGTAAAATAGTTACGTTTTCACGTTTTTCATGTAGTTTGATATTACGTAAATATATTCATTTTTACCAATATTTCGATACTATTTCATGTAGTATCACAATATGTGATTTGGCCTTCAAATTTCAGAATGTCGCATAATATTGCATTTCAAGCAAGTTTTCTTGCATTTTGTTTCGTACGAAAAATCATCGAATTTAGCAATATTTTGACGTTTATCATCCGCTTTTCCTCTATGTGATTTAAACAAAATATCATCTAATTATGCTATATTTTGCCGTTTTTCCACGTTTTTGTGCATTTTCAGTTTCTGGGTATTAATTCATTATATATACGATAAAAATGATGCAAACACATAATTGATTAGATAATAACCTTAAATACTTCATTTTCAATCAACTATTTGTTTCTCGTTAAAATACTGAGTAAGATATTGAAAAGGGGAGAAGTTCTGTTTTTATTGAATATATCGACGTTTCAGCCGGAATAGAGATGTTTTCGTGTACATCTTCCATCGGTAATATAAACGGAAAATCAGTTTTTTTTTTGTTAATTCTAATGAAAACACATTGATTTTTATCATTTGTATTGGAAACAACATTGTCATATGTCTTTTTTTGGATCTAAATAATACGAAACCTCGCTCTATGATTTGAAGTTAAAATACTCAAATATGGTTATATAGTGACTTTTTTCATGTTTTTCATGTAGTTTGATATTACGTATTTATAATAATTTTTACCAATATTTCGATTCTATTTCATGTAGTATCACGATATGTGATTTGGCCTTCAAATCTCAGAATTTCGCATAATATTGCATTTTAAGCTTGTTTCGTACGAAAAATCATCAAATTTAGCAATATTTTGACGTTTATCATCCCATTTTCCTTTATGTGATTTAAACATAATATCATCGAATTAGGCAATATTTTGCCGTTTTTCCACATTTTTGTGAATTTTCAGTTTCTTGTTATTAATTCATTAAATATATGATAAAAATTATGCAAACACATAATTGATTAGAAATTAACCTTAAATACTTCATTTTCAATCAACCATTTGTTTCTCGTTAAAATACTGAGTAGGATATTGAAAAGGGGAGAAGTTCGGTTTTTATTGCATACATCGACGTTTCAGCCTGATTAGAGCGGTTTTACGTGTACATCTTCCATCGGTAATATAAACGGAAAATCAGGAACATTTAAGATAATTCTAATGAAAACACATTGGTTTTTATCATTTGTATTGGAAACAACATTGTCATATATCTTTTCTTGAATCTAAATAATACGAAACCTCGCTCTATGATTTGAAGTTAAAATCTCCAAAAATGGTAAAATAGTGACTTTTTTCACGTTTTTCATGTAGTTTGATATTACGTAAATATATTAATTTTTAGCAATATTTCGATACTATTTCATGTAGTATCACGATATGTGATTTGGCCTTCAAATCTCAGAATTTCGCATAATATTGCATTTTAAGCAAGTTTTCTTGCATTTTGTTTCGTACGAAAAATCATCAAATTTAGCAATATTTTGACGTTTATCATCCCATTTTCCTTTATGTGATTTAAACATAATATCATCGAATTAGGCAATATTTTGCCGTTTTTCCACATTTTTGTGAATTTTCAGTTTCTTGTTATTAATTCATTAAATATATGATAAAAATTATGCAAACACATAATTGATTAGAAATTAACCTTAAATACTTCATTTTCAATCAACCATTTGTTTCTCGTTAAAATACTGAGTAGGATATTGAAA